CATGTTAAGGTTTAACTTTTTATAATACAATATTAATGGTGAACTCAAGCAGAATTTTGATCTTAACAGTGGATACTAACAAATGTCTTATGAGTAATGTTTAGATGTGAGAACTTGTTGGCAGTGAGTATATATAACTTCTAATTTGCCAGGATACTTCAAAACACTGTGGGTGTCTGATTCACATATGCAAATATTTTCTTTCAAATAAATTGACACTTCTACCAGTGCCTTGCTCAATTTTTAAAGTCATAGTGCACAGAGATTTTATTTGACAACTCTACAAGCTGGTTGCTGGATGAGAAAGAAAAGTCAGGTCAAATGTCCTGGTTTTGGTCAAAAGTTTGATTCATAGTTTTAACAAAGACTCCAGAGTTTTCTTTCATGTTCGTAGTACAGACAGGCGAGTAGTTTAGGAAGCTTGCTTAGTTCCATCATCCTGTCCTTTTCAGAGAACTAAATCCTCTTCACAGTATTGAACATGTCCCTATGTTTCTGAAGTAATGAAAATGCACACATGTAGTCAGGAGCTCTTTAAACACAGAACAGTCCTCAGTGTGGCTCCTCATACATATTTTTAACATACTATCCATCCTTGCAAGCTTAAGGACATTTTGATCTCCAAATCCACTAAAAATGTTGGGTGCAGTGCCACACCCAACACTGAGGAGGCAGAGGCTAAAGGATATCTGGAGCTTGCAGGCCAGTCAGTTCAATCTGATTAGTGAGCACCAGGCCAGAGATAGAAGTGTGATGTAATTCTATCCTATGCTTCTGCCCTTGTGCCCACACACACTTCTCCCTGTGCCCTCTCTCCTTCCCTTTGAATACCATCTCATATGCACAAATACAGTGCTTTAGTCATGAAGAACATGTTCTGGTTGCTTCTCTTTCAGTAGACATTGGTGGATATTTCCTATATCCAGTATTGTAGTAGAGATTGACAAAATAATTAATTTTGTAATTTCATCAATTTTAATAGCTAGAATATACACATATTCAAAATAACTTCCCGTAGTCAATTGCTTAGTTAACTCTAAAATATATTGCATTCAGAAAAGTCAGATTATTGTCTTTTATTTTTGTCTGTTCTCATAATGCAGCTATTATATTTCCCAAAACAAACACTGATATTTCTCTCCAATATGATGATAAATCAATGAATTTTGACACACTAAGATATAATGCAATTCTTTCACAGTATATTACATATACTACTTCCATTAAAACTAAAATAGCATGCTTTGGGCTGCAATTTATTCAAGCACTAAAAATCTTCAGTATAGCCCCCTAGCTATTTGGAAGGTGTGCCTGTGCTTTGACAAAGGAGAAGGCATAAAGGTGTGTGGATAGGGTTTAATTTGTGAACTAGAATTGACACAAGACTGGGTTGGTTGTCATTGTTCTAGACCTTTATATGTGTGAGTGCAGCTAGGAACAGAATGTTTGTAGAAGTGGGTTGGGAAAATCTCATGGTGCTTTCAACTGGGATTTAAGACTCTGGGTTTTATTTAAGCATTTCATTTTATATCTGAAATGACTTTATTCTGATAATCTTGAGTGGTATTGACATTGTTTCTGACTTTAACTATTTTCAGTGTTTACATATGTGCCAGTCCTACTAACCACGATGATGGCAAAAACGTTAAGATTTCGTTTGCCATCTCATTGTGTCCTTGCAGCATTTCTGTGTACAGACTGCCAAGTTACTTTGTTTTAAAAGACTTGTATTACGTTTTCCCTTAAGCAATCAACTCAATCTAGAGTAAGGTAGATGTATTTCATTTAGATGTCAAAGTTTAGGGCCTTTTTTTAAAATTTTGATTGAATTGGAGAAACTTTTACACAGTTTTATATCCAATTCTCTGAAACAACACATATTCAAAGACATATTTTCTTTCTTCCGTGCCCACCCACTTGTTTTCACTTTGAAAGAAAGCCTGCATTTGGCTTCATGAGACTTACAGACTATTTTCTCACTTACCTAAATGGTCAGCTATTCTGTTTCGTATTATCCATTTCACTGTATGCTAGTAAGTTCCCTTTCCATTGAATTAGCAAAAACATTTTCAGCTTTTTTTAATTGATATATATACATACTACTCATTTAGCATCCTCATGATTAGTGTTGGGGTTTACAAGTTTCTGGGTAAAAGATTACCATAAACGTACAGTATATCCATATGTTAGTATTCATATTCGTATGTTAGTATATTCACATGTTAATCTGGCATCAAAATTTAGAAGTGTGATTGCTATGACAAAATACAAATATATATGAAAACTTGCTAGATGTGGCCAAATTCCCCTCCACAGCTGATATGCTCTTTTACAAGTGATTTACTAAACATATAAGAAGGATTGTATAGTTTCTTTGGCTGGGGTGGAGCTGGGACTGAACATAGAACCTTGCACATACATGCAAAGTATGTGTTCTGTTTTTGAGCTACACTCCAAGCACTTGTATATACTTACACAAAATTTAAAGGGCAAACTTGATCTAATGCCTATTAGCAACTATTACTTACATTTTGAATTGCTTTTTTTTTTTTTTACTCAAGCTGCTTTTCCCAGAGCCTGTTCTTTGTTCATGTAGTTGCTTGATCTTGATCAGAGCCTCTGTCACCAGCTAGTGTCTGTGAAATGATCATACCATACACATTTGTGAATATTCAAATATGTTCTTTTTTTATTAAGGACTACTATGTAGCAAGCAGGCTTTGCTTCCTCATAATTCACCTTTTCCCTATAAAACTTGACAGTAGAAATTATAAATCCATTTCTTGTCCATACCTCATAGTAGACATTAACTCCTTTCTGACATAAGCTTTAACCTATAAATATATTATGAAACCATCTTCTCGGAAAGTAACTAACTTTTAGAGTGGATAATGAAATATGGTAAGTGCCCTTTTAAATAAGGACTGAAATTTGCTTCTTAAGAGTATCTCAAGGTGGACAGACCAACTCCGTGGCCTTTAGGTTGTTGAGGAATTAGTATTGATAGGACTGACAAGACCTAAAGTAGTAGTTTTTTTTTTCCCTTTAAAACCACTATTCCCATATCTGCTTTTCTTTATTGGTATAATGGGGGAAGAATTAATTTTAAAAGGTGGTGGCTATTGATTACTTAATGGAATAATATAGTGTAGAGAAATGCTAAAATGAATCTATTCCGTGCCCTCCTGTGCAACAGGCACCATTATCCAGCAGTGGGAAGCATTCTGCAGCTCTCATTAATATGCAATAGGTACCATCAAGCTCGTTATAGGCTACTGAACTGCCACAGGTCCAGGTTACAATAGTCCATAAGAATGTCCCAAGTATACAACAGAGTAACAAATGTCCTTGATGGATTCATTTGTAAGCAGGACAATAGTTTCCTCACTTCCCTCTGATCTCCAAACCTTGATGGCCTGATAGAAAAATGCCCACTAGGTAATTTGAAGTGATCCATGCTCTGGGTTGATCTCTAGTTTTGGTAAGCTCTGAATGAGATGACTTGGTATTTTCCACTGTGGAACACAATTTCTGCTATCTTGTCTCTACTTTCACTACAAGCAAAAAGAGCTGTGAGCTAGTTCATCAAGGGAGGCAAGTCAGCAAAGGGCAACTTGTCTATGACAGCCATTATTCTCCGAGCAATGTTTGAGAGAGCAAAACATCTAATAAACTAGCCATGTGCCACGTGTTCAGGATCTTCTGATTTCAACTCATTTTCTAAGGGAGAGAATTTCAATAGCAGTTGGTGGTGAGAGACATGTATAAGAATGATTCCAAGGACAAGGCTTCTCGAGCAAAGAATTTTTAAAGTGAGAGATAAGTTCTGGGTGGACAATAGCAAATTTTATAGATTACTGACTTCTGCTATTGATCCTTGTTTCAAATTACTAGGTTAGTTTTTCAATAAAATCTATTAATTTCTAAAACATACTATTTTGAAATGAGGTATAGTCCTTAGGACAATCTATGTTCTTTGGAATTTTAGGTATACAAACACACACACACACACACACACACACACACACACACACACACACACA